ACTTCAGTAGATTAAGCTGGTACCGTGTTACCAAGACCCTTACCGTAGATCACATGGCTGGCACAAACAACCCGGAGTGGCCGAGATCCCCAGGTAAACAAAGATGACCGTCTGATGGAGACTTTATATCCTTTATGTTTACCTGGATGGAGTTGAAACACATTCTTCTTAGCAAAGTATCTCAAGAATGGGAACAAAAATCCAACGTACTCTATACTAATATGAAGTCAATATATAAACAATTCCATGCTCATACAAACGATAAAACACAAAAATAGTCTAGCAAGGGTAAGGGATGAGGAAGGAGAGAGGAGGGGCAGGAGGAAGGGCCATTGGCCGGAAGACGGAGGGCATGTGGGAGGATCTCAGCCAAGGTCACAATGTGAGGGTGTTCAGCACACCCCCTGGGTGAAGGGCTCAGCTACAACTTGACCTTTACCTTCAAAGTGAGAACATCATAACTGCAAAATTTCGGCCTTCATATTAATTTGAAATTTTAAAAAAAAGCCAAGCACAGTGGCTCACATCTGTAATCCCAGCACTGTAGGAGGCTGAGGAGGAGAACTGCTTGAGCTCAGGAGTTGGAGACTTGCTTCAGTGAGGGTGAGACCCTGACTCCTAAAAAAATGAAAAACCCAGCTGGCTGCCACAGCGAGCGCCTGTAATCCCAGCGGCTTCTGGAGGCTGAGGCAGGAGGATGCCCACAGCCTGAGTCTGAGGTTGCAGTGAGCTATGACACCATTGCACCCTGCTTGGGGCTTGGGGTGGGACTCTGTCTCAACAACAACAACAACAACAACAAAAAGCAAAGATAAGCAAGGAAATAAAAAAAAGATTAATAGGGCGACAATTGTGGCTCAAAGGAGTAGGGCACCGGCCCCATATGCCGGTGGTGGCGGGTTCAAACCCAGCCCCAGCCAAAAACTGCAAAAAAAAAAAAAAAGATTAATGAAATATTAAATTTCATTAATGGAGGCACAGTCTGTGCAGCCACCTGTCACCTCTGGTGTTGTCACTGTCCTGGCATCATCTTTAATCGTGTGTGTGTGGAGCTCCCTGCTTTGTTCAGGTCTTACCTGTTTGCATCCCTGGCGATGGTCAAGGACCAAGCCTTTTGTAAGAGGGTGTGCCGTGTGTGGACATCCCAGGCTTGCTGAATTATCTCTTCACCACCCACCTGTGTTGTGGGATTGTCATTCAGCTGAGACATGAGTGATGGGAGCACCAGGAGTGTCCCTCCTGCCAGCTTAATAACTCACAGCAGATCATCAACCATGGAGTTCCTTAATGCCCTCCGTTCATCCAGACCCTGACATCCAACAGGACACCCCCACCTGAAGATTCCTCCAGGAAACCACTAGATTGGGCACAGCTACACACAGCCTTTCCCCATCCCACACTGCCCCTGCACAGGCCCCTCACTCTATTTCTCCAGCTCTGGGAAGGCACCACGCTTGGCGTTTTCTCAGCCTTGAAGCTCCAGTTATCACAGGCACCTCCCTCTCCCTCCACCCACAGCCTCGGGTCACAGTGCACCCCGGCTGTTCTGCTTCCATCCTCTTGTTCACAGGGGTCTCCTCCTGTTCTGGACGTTCTTCTGGTCTGGGGATTTCTGAGACTTAACCAGCACAGGGAAGGGTTCTCCAATGGGCGCCTGCACCATGCAACACCCCGTTAACTCTCTCATGAGGACGGGCTGCCATCAGAGTGACCTTTCCACATTTCTTTGCGTGAGAAGGTGTCTGTAGCTCCAGTGATGCTCAGATGTCCCCTGAGCTTCCACCAACTGCTGGAATCCTCCCCTGAGACCGAGCACAGACTCTGTGGTCCAGCTCACATGCAGCCTCCTCCTAGCCTCCCCCCACGCCCACTGCCATTTGTAAAGGTCCCTCCGTGGGGGTCCCCGGTGCTGGGATTATGCCCCAGCTTCCATGGCTTTTCTACTCAGCCTGTCTTGCTGTGGCTGCAAACCTACTTCTCACTCTCTCTCTCTCTCTCTCTGAAAGGTTTTAAATCCCGGGTGTGCTCAGCCAAGGTCTGATGAACAGGAAGAACAGAGCTGGCCCTAAGTTGGACGTGAGCCACGAGGTATGTGCCATGGAAGTTTATCTATAGATTCAAGTGTGCCGTAAGATTTTTTTAAAGGCTGAAAAACACTTGTTTATAGCAATGCACGGGGCAGCGCCTGTGGTTCAGTGAGTAGGGTACTGGCCCCATATAC